TCCAAATGTCTCCTGGGGAGCAAAATCACAGTTGAGAGGCATTGRTGATAATGGGACAGAACTGATGGGAGTTGGAAGTGGGGGTGGGAGAGAAGTAAGAGAAGTGACATTTGGGATGGGAGACATGAATGGATCTGAGATATTAAGGAGGAAGAATAGAGAAATCTCTGGAATTGGCAAATTGTGGGGGCTGGGGGAAAAGAAGGAGTCAGCCAGTACTCTGGTTTGGGCAACTGGAATGATTGTGACACTTTTCTGAAAATAAATAAATAAATAAATAAATAAAAGAGGAAGAAATATGCAAGAAGAAGAGTTGAAATTCAGACCTGTAGTTTTTGACTCAACTTGGGCATTCACCAAGAAGTGGGTTCAAAGACCGTTGTCCAGGAGCAAGTTCAGAACTAAGAGTGGATTTGGATGGCAGCAGCTTAGTAATTGACACCAGAAGAGAAAATATGTCTTTTTTTAAGGAGAGATCATTCATTTGCTGGAGAAAAGGATGAATTGGATCATTAAAAGGCAACCTAATTCCTCTACATTCCACCAAGGTTGAGTAAGATGAAGTAAGGTTAAAAAAAACTAGAAAAGCCTYAAACCCAATTCTTAAAAACATTTCATTATGTTTTATCCCTTCTGTGGTRCTGGGAATAGAATCAGGGTCCTGCACATGATATACAAGTGTTCTACCACTGAGCTATACCCCCAGGCCCCCATTTGAGTTTACTGAGTGCTATTAACCATGACATGAAAAATTCATTTTTTTTAGAAATTCACAGCTTTTGAAATCCGCTTTTCTCTCCAACTGATCAGTATGAAAGTTTTCAAACATTCAGAAAAGTTAAAGGAATTTCTAAGTAAGCGTCATATATCTACCATATAAATTATACTCTTAACATTAATATATTTGCTTTATCATATACTTGTTCATGTAACCATTAAAGCATTTTATTTTTTTCATTAAAGCATTTTATTTTTCATGAATTTTAGCATAAATTACAAAGATTAGGATACTTAACTRTATAGTATACATATTATGAACCATACTTCAATATTTGTTTAAAGTTTATCAACCTACTTCTGTTAATTTTATTTATTTATTCATTATTCATTTTTTTTAATGTGTTGGGGGATCTAAGCCAGGGCCTTGTGCGTGCTAAGCATATTCTCTACCACTGAGCTACACATCAGTTCACTAATTGTTTGTTTAAAATCCTTATCCAGTGGAGTACACATGCCTGAAATCCTAGAGACTCCAAAGGCAGAATCAGAAAGATTGCAAGTTCAAGGAAAGCCTGGGAAACTTAGCAAGACTAAATCTCCAATAAAAAATTTTATAAAAGGGTTGGGGACTTACCTCAGGGATAGAATGTTCCTGGGTTCAATCTCCAGTACAACAAAAATCAATCAATCAATMAAATAATAATAATAAAGTCTATATTAAATTCTCTATGTTGAAAAACAGGTAGCACTGCTTCTTCTTTTATGTGYAGTTTTGGTGACCTTTTGGGGATGCTAATAGTTTAATTTTTACCAACAATTACGAAGTGCTATTATCTTTGAATGTAGGAGCTGGTCATATTTGTCTTTCTTTTCTGTATCCTTGTCACCTAGGATGTGGCTGGGCATAAGGTGAGATCTCTAATTTTCTGTTAAATGTAATTTTACAACCACAAATCAATCTATCTTCCTTCCTTCCTTCCTTTTTTTTTTTTTTTCTTTTTGGTGGTACTGGGGATCAAACCCAGGCATGCACTCTACTGCTTAGATATGTCACCAGCCCTGATGCTCTTTCTTGGTCAGATGAACTTAAATTTGGGCCTTGTCACAGGCATTCTGGGATTACTAAATAGCTACTAAATATAAACAAATGCTTTGGCAAAACATCCAGGTTTTCCTTTGTGATACTTTTACCATCCCTCCAAAAARTAAACAATGTGGTGTTGTTTGTTCTAAAAAAAAATTGGAACTTAAATTTGTGGGCTCAAATATTGCGTTTCCTCCTAAGAACTTTGACAAATCTCACAGTTTATCTGATCTTATGCATTAATTATTATTGGGTTAAGAATACCTACCTACATTTGATACCCACAGCTGTAATTTTCAAATGAGTCTTTGCATGTAATAGAACTTTGTCAACTGTGATCTGCAGCCCAACTCCCGCCTTTTGTCTCACATTCAAAGGATGTGAAAAAAAAAAAAAAAGAATCAGCAGCCTTCTCACTATCTCCCTTCCTCCCATTCTCTATTCTTCCCTGCCTTTTGTCTTCTTAACTTCTAGAATACATCACAGAAGAAAATAATAAGGGAAAAAATAATTTAGAATCAAAGATGATCTGTTAAAGAAAGAGCAAAAAATAAAGATTTCTAAGTACTTTGGCAAAGAAGTAGAAAATTCTAATATCTACAGGCAAATTGTGCCCTCTGGGAAGCCTGGATTCTAGAAAAAAGAAGAGAGCAGTCTTGTGAAAGAGGTGAAACAAAGGCTTTTCAAGCATTCCGGAATTGCTTGGAGACTGGAATATTACCCTGGCAAAGTTATTAAAGTTGATTTCTCCAAACCATTTGCTCAAAAGGGCCAGCTAAGGACAACTGGCTACCTGCCCTGAAGTTACATTTATTTTTTAAGATTATAGTTTGAAAACGGATAGTACTAATTGATGTATATGCTTTTCCATCTTTCTTTTTCTTTATAAAGATGTTAAAGGAGAGACTTTAAAAATGCTGGTTCATACTATGCAAGAAAAGACTATATATTTGCTTGCTGCATTTAAAATGGATCATAGAAACATTCTACTTTTCCCTCCTCTGTGTTTACTAGTCAGTATTTTCAAAGTAGTTAACATAGAACTTCTAACTTAAATACTTGTAACATTACTGATTAATGACAGTTTAATCTCAGTTTACTGCTTGGAACTTCTTTCACTACCAATGGTGTTTTAAAATATTTTTAAACAAAGTTAGCCAAGTGTAGTAAGTAATTAAAGTAATGACAAATTTACAATGAGGAAAAGTGTTTGTGCTAATATTGAGGCCAGAATGTTAAGAAGTCCTGGTACAGAACAAAGTGTACCTGGGAGGACTTGCTTGGGAAAATGGTGGTTTATATAGTAATATCTGATTTCACATATTTATGCCAAGGGTGTTTCCTTYTGGTAGGCGACCACAATAGTGACATGTTTAATATTGATGAGATTGACCTCCTGGGAGTTATAGTATATGTACCCTTTTGGAATACAAATGCTGTTTAATTTATATGGTAAACATAGAATTTTGGAGATTAGCATTTTAATCAGCTCTAATCTCAGTATTTCCTGCTTCACCCACCTCTTCTTTGTCTAAAGCAGTTCGAAATGCCAACTTTGGAAATGACAGCTAATGTCCTGTTCTGGACAAGTTCTGTATAAAACATATGTGCAGCATYATGTGTAGTAACCTTTCCTAAGCCATATGCTCGAGCACATTAAAGTGTTCAAGGAGATAATCAATTATTCAAAAAACAGCAATCCATTCATTCAGCAAATATTTACTTAAGATCCATATAGAAGCAGGCAGATTTAGTTTAAGGGTTGTGTGACAGAGATATTATGATACCTTTAAATTGGAACTGGGCTTCCGTTTTTTTCCTGTGTGAAATTTTCTTCTTTTCTATTTAACTTTTTTTCATTGCAGGTTCGAGAGCTTTGAAGTACGTGTGTATGTTCCAATCCACGAACTATTCGAAGGGGTGGGGGCGGCAAAGCATCCTGTAAGCACCATGGAAATCAAAGTCCCCAGGATAGAGGAAACGTTTTTCGCGCTCGGGTTCAGCGAAGAGCCAAGAGGAGGCCAAGGGGGCGGCAGCAGCGGGCGGGGAGCCAGGCCCAAGCTGCGTCCCGCACAGCCATTGGCGGGCGCCGCGCGCTGTACTGAGCATGTTCGCGCCCAGCCAGCCCGGGCCGCAACCGCAGCGAAGGCAGCCACCCGAGCTGCCGCGCATTATGCAAAGCCGCAGCAGATGTCAGCGGGGCCAGCCGGGGGCTTGTTGGCCTCTTCTCCCAGCGGCTCGCCCAGCTGCCTAACGTGCCCTGAAGACTCCCCTGGCCTGGCCCAGGAGCCGAGAAGGGCCGAAATGGCCTGAGTACCCAAGGTGCAGCGGCACAGCGGCGGCATTGCAACATGGGGAACCAGGATGGGAAGCTGAAGAGGAGCACAGGTGATGCCTTACACGAAGGCGGTGGTTGCGGCGCCGAGGATGCTGTGGGGCCCAGGGATGTGGAAGCTACAAAGAAGGGGAGCGGGAGCAAGAAGGCTCTGGGCAAGCACAGCAAGGGAGGAGGGGGTAGCGGCGGGGAACCCGGCAAAAAGAAGAGCAAGTCGGACTCCAGACCCTCCGTGTTTTCCAACCTGCGGATTAGGAAGAACCTCTCCAAAGGGAAAGGTTCTGGCGGCTCCCGGGAGGATGTGTTGGACTCTCAGGCCCTGCAGACCGGGGAGCTGGACAGCGCTCATTCCCTGGTCACCAAGACCCCGGACCTCAGCCTGTCTGCTGATGAGACGGGCCTGTCGGATACTGAGTGTGCGGACCCTTTTGAGATAACCCTTCCAGGTGGTCCTAGGCCTGCAGAGGCTGGGTTAGGGGTTCAGGCGGTCGCCGAGGATTTGGAAACTGTGGTAGGGGCGCAGGATGGACAAAGGACCAGTTCGGGCTCGGACACGGACATCTATAGCTTCCATTCGGCTGCGGAGCAAGAGGATTTGCTCTCAGACATCCAGCAGGCGATTCGCCTGCAGCAGCAGCAGCAGCAGCAGCAGCAACAGCAGCAGCAGCAGCTCCAGAACTCCGAGGAGCCTGCAGCGCCCCCCGCTGCCGTCTTCCCTCAACCCGGGGCCTTCCTGGGCCTCCAAGGGTTTCTGCTGGGACCCAGCGGAGGGGCTGAGGAGGCCCGAAGCAGTCCTGACACAGAGCAGGCACAATCCGCKCTCTCTGACCTTCCTGAAAGCCAGACCACCAAGTCCCGGGTGTCAGAGCAGCCGCCATCCCCCAAGGGCCTCCTTGCATCGGAGGCGCCCAGCTTACCGCCTGCCCAGTCTGCAGCAGCAGACTCGCCTTCCTCCACCGCCTTCCCATTTCCCGAGGCCAGGACRGAGGAGGGCGCAGTACCAGCCTCCGTAAGAGAAGCTGAAGACACAGACGAGGAAGCAGAGGAGGATGCTTTTGAGGATGCTCCCCGAGGCTCTCCAGGGGAAGAGTGGGGCCCAGAGGTGGGAGAGGTCACGCAGAGTCTGGATGAAGAGCCAGAGGAGCAGACGCACGGGCCCAGGGTCCCCGCAGCAGCCACCTCTCTGCCCGGTAGCCCTGCGCCTAGCCCGCGCTGCTTCAAGCCCTACCCACTCATTACCCCCTGTTACATCAAGACCACCACCCGGCAGCTCAGCTCACCCAATCACTCCCCGTCTCAGTCCCCCAGCCAGAGCCCCAGGATTAAGAGACGACTGGAGCCCTCCTTGAGCCGGGGCCCCAGAACCGCCCTGGTCTCAGCAGTCGCCCCAGCCAAGAAGCACCGGACCGAAGGCAGCCTCGCAGGCGGCCTCAGCCGCTCAGCCGACTGGACTCAGGAGTTGGGTGCCGGCACCCCGGCGGCAGGAGGCTCTGCGCACCTTCTGGAGTCTGGCGCTGCTGCAAACAGTAGCGGTGGCCTGTCCCCCGCTCTGGCAGGCAAGGTGTCTGGAGCTCCGGGGACTGCAGATGGCTTTCAGAACGTGTTCACAGGTGAGCGTGCCTTGCTGCTAGTCTCCAGGTGGCAGGTCGCCTGCCAATCAGGGCCTTACCCTGTGACCCGCCCTCCCCAGTTCTGAAAGGCCCTGGCCTGCTAGTCTCTTCCTAGTGAATCCTTTTCAACCGTGCTCATCCCTCGGTGATTGCCTTGGATATATACTTCTTGGTTTTTTATTTTATTTTATTTTATTTCAGGGTGGCGAAGGGAACAATTTAGTTGTGTCTAACCTAAATCATCTCAGGAAAGGGCTTCTCTGCTCAGTTCTCCCAAATATCTGCTGTTTCCTAACGTTCAGAACCCCAGTAGGCAGATAAATTCCTTTTGTGTCTTGTTTGCTAAACCATCATTCTTTTTCTTCTTCATTCCCAAAGCATTAAAAGAACAACTTTTTCATGGTCTTTCTCAAGGGTCAGTATTGGAGGCACAAAACATTTGTTCCAGTACTTTCCAAAGGTGATCTCTGACTGCTCTAGTACCCACACACCTGAATTTACATATATATGTAATATGTYGTTTCTATCTTACAGCAATCTAGGTAGGGCTATTTTGTGAAGTGAAACAGTCACTACTGCTTGCAAAGACAAGAAAATCTGATACATGCTATTGGAAAATGAATATACAAAAGAGTATCAGGAGTAACTTCTTTCCTTTCCGTGACCCAGCCAGAACTTCTCTACTTGGAAATGGGGATGATCAGAAGACCAAAAGCATATCCAGATATGTTCAAGTGATAGTTCTCTTCCTTAGCCATTTGTTATAGACTCACACATAGAATGCACAGTGGAAGGATCAGTTTATTGTGGGAAAACACCTAATCAAATAGCAGAATGAGTTTATCCTTTACTATAGGCTTATTGGTCCCAAGGCCTTACCTTAAGGGTTCACTGGCAGTGTCAGTTTGTTTCCTGTTTACTTAACATCTACTCTTAATTTTTTGAATGAAATAGTGTTAGAATTGAAAGAATAGGGGAAAAATATGAAAAKTTATGTCAGTGCTGGTAGGTTTGTGATAAATATTTGAATGACTAAAATTTGAAAGGCACTTTAAAAATTTTATGTTCTATTATTTTAATAAATAGGTCATTTATAGAAATTACTTTGGTGAAATTTCTCAATGAAGACAGCTTACACTTAGCTGGTTAGATGCTGTTATTTTTGTGGTAGCTATTTTTATTGGAGTACATTTTCATTTTCATCTATGGGCTATATTTTATTTTGCATTTACAGAACTCAGAAGTACTTGCTTTTTGTTTTTTTCCTTTCTTCTCTTTATTGTAGATTCAGTAAATAGGAATGTCTGTAGTCTTAAACCAACTAGGTTAATTATAAAAACCAAAATGAGACAAAACAAAAAACACACACACCAAAAAAAGAAAAAAGAAAAGAAAAGAAAAGAATAAAGGAAACTTGATGGAAAAGAATTGGAAAGTTTTTGAGTTAATTTTTATTAATTCATTTATTTTTTTACAGYGCTAGGGGTAAAACCCAAGGCCTTGTGCATGCTAGCAAAAATATTCTACCCTTTGAGCTACATCATCAACCCAATTTTTTGGAGTTGATATTGGTGAGAAATCATGTATTTTCTCCTTAGATAGCATTCATTTATATAGTTTTCTAAAAACAAAAATTATTCACCATAATTAAGATATATTCCATGCATTTGTAATTGTATCAAAGTGAATTCTACTGTCATGTATAACTAAAAAGAAACAACATAAATATTTTTACTAAAAAAAGATTATCAATAATTAATATTAGTGATAGCTATTCCTACTAGCATAAGAATTTGTTTCATTCATTTAGCATATATATGCCTATAGACACATCTGTATATGCATGTATACATACACACACAGATATATATAGATCATACATACACATATATACATACATACTGGGCAGCCACATTGTGCCAGGCTATGCTTTTGTTTTTGTTTTGTTGTTTTAGTGATAAGTATCCAATCCAGTACTTCATGCATGCTAGCCAAAAGTTTTAACATTGCCTTGCATCCCCAACACAATCATGGTTCTGCCTTTCAAAGTTTCACTGAGTGAAGAAAAAGCTCTTAAAATGCAGAGGSCTGGGGCAGGAGCTCATTGTTAAAGCTCTTGTGTAGCATAGGCAAGGCTTTGGGTTCCATCTCCATTATTGAAAAAAAAAAAGGACAGTGCACAGGAATCTGTCTATTATCTATCTACTTACYTACCTATCTGTCTATATGCAGGATACTATCCTGGAAACATCAAGAATAGGATTCAGTGRCTTATCTCCTTGGCAAAGTGTAAGAAAAGGTATTGTCAGAGGTATTGAACAGAGTTCTGAGACATAGGACCTGAAATACATTGAAGTTTTTATTTTTCTTAAAAAAGAAGTATATTCTTGGAACTGTGTATCATTTTAATTTGCTAGGCTAGTATTTTCAKATTTGAAATTTGGGACTCTCAAAAGAGCTGTGCTTACATTTGCAGGTAAAATGGATGCAACTAGAGAATATCATGCTAAGCGAAATAAACCAATCTCAAAAAACCCAAAAGCTGAAGTTTTCTCTGAGAAGGGGATGCTGATCCACAGTAGGGGGGGCGGGGTAGGAAAAATGAAGGAAATTTGGATTGTGCACAGGGGAATGGCGGGAGGGGTGGAGCACTGGGGATGGGAAGGACCATAGAATGAGACAGACATTATTACCCTGTGTACATGTATGATTATACTACTGGTGTGACTCAGCACCATGTATAGCCAGAGGAATGAGAAGTTATGTTCCATTTGTGTACAAAGTGTCAAAATGCATTCTACTGTCCTGTATAACTAATTAGAATTTTTTAAAAAAATTAATTAAAAAAAAAAAAAGAGCCTTGTTTAGGTAGCACTTGGGTTCTTTTGATGTCTCCAGGCAGGCATTTTTGTTTGTTTTTCTTTAACTTGTAGAGTAAAAGTAAAGTCATTTTGCTGAGTGTGATGGCCTACACATATAAACCCAGCTCCTGAGGAGGTTGAGGCAGGAAGATCACACATTCAAGACCAGGCTCGACCCTTAGTGGGGCCCTGTATTAAAATAGAAATAAATAAAAGGGCTGGGGATGTAGCTTTGTAGTAGAGTGACTCTGGGTTCAATTCCCAGTACCAAAAAAATAACAAACAAGGGTTAGTTGTTTTTATGAGGACATTGCCTACTTAATATTTGATGATTAGATATAGATGCAGTGACAAGCAGATATGTTTTTGTATAGCAACTTCAATGTACTAATCTTCTCTCTGCCTTRTTTAGGAAAAAAAAAAAAAATCAGTGGGTTTAACCTAACCTTATGACTGGTAGGAAATGGAGGTAGAAAAAAAGGTGAAATAACTTTCTCAAGGTCACGCTCATTAGAAGCATAGCTAGAGGCAGAAGCTGAGTCTACTGATTTGTGTATGGGTGCACTTTCTCATTACTTGCATTTGACATTCAGCACTGTAAGACAATAGAGTAAAAACTTTTTAAAAATTGCTGTAGGCTCTAAGGCCTTCACTGATGAGGTTTTCTGGTTTCTGTCGATGATAATAATAACGTATACCCCTTTAATGGTTGAACATCAGTTCTTCCTTGGGCTGGGTGAAAGATGATTGTTGGCCAAAGTGAATCAGATTTTCTTGAGGCAACTCTCATGGAAACTCTCGCTGTTCGTCTGGTGGTAGAGGGACTCCAGATTGATACAAGCCTCTGTTTCTCGGCTGTTGACTCTTTTCTTGTTATCTGCCATTACATTTGCTTCTTTACCATCCTCTGCTATTTCATGGGTGTATTGGAAATTACCAGGAGTTTGGGCAACTAGGATTGTCCTTAGGGAAAGAGTTCTTTGACTTTGATTATGCATGAATTTGGATCATTTAATTGCCAGCTGCTTTTGAAGCAGGTGATCATTTTATCTATAGCCTTTCATAAATAACTTCTATTTTTAAACCATAGGACGAGAGTTGTCAGCTCTGAAGGAAAGAACAGATGTTTCTCACTTTTTACTTCCTTCCAAATGTAGGGAGAAAATTCAAGTGAAAAGGGATTTCCATTGCACATGTTTCTGTTTCTTTGGTAGATATAAAAAAACTGAAGCAATGTGGGATACCAGATTGTTTCAGCTATTAAGAAACCGAGGGCTAGGCAAGGTGGCTTATAACTGCAATCCTAGTGATTTGGGAGGCTGAAACAAAAGGATTAAGCCTAGCCTTGGCAATTTAGTGAGAATGTATCTTAAAAAGAAAAAAAAGAAAAGAAAATTAATGATAATAATAATTAAAAGGGCTGGGGGTGTCTCTTAGTAGTAGAGTATCCTTGGACTCAAAAAAAATTTAAAAAAAAAGAAAGAAAGAACTTGATGCTGTTATAGTCCATTATATTTAAATTTTTGGTTATTTTGTTCAAAATGCATATTTTACAATGATTATTAGAAAAAAAATGATAGGTTCATTTACACATTAGGTGTAACAAAAGCTTGGTAGCACATAGTTTTTGTTTTTTTTTTTCCTTCTTTTTCTTTTTCTGTAGTGTTGGGGATTGAACCTAGGGCGTCACACATGCTAAGCATTTGTTCTATGTCTGAGGTAGAGTCCCAGCCCAGTAATAGTTTCGCAGTTAATTAAAGTTTGGATATCTAACATGTAAAATATATATAATGCTAAGAATGCTAAGTCAATTTTTGTTTGTTTTGCTGCTTTTTTTTTTTTTTTTTTTTTTGGTGCTGGGGATCAAACTCAGGACCTTCTGCATACTAGGCAAGTGTTCTAACACTGAGCTGTGTCCCGAATTTGTGAAATCATTTTGATGAGAATCTTGCCAAGTCAATTATGTGCTTATCTGTCACTTTTTAAAACACATAGAATTAAAAAATTTAATCTTTTTAAAAAGGCTTAATGTCATCTTCAAGAACATCATTGTTAACATCTTATAAAAACATTAGTGATGCCCTTAACATTTATTTAAATGTGTAAGCTAGTGGCCTCAGTTTTTGTATCTATATAGTT